TTGGTTCCATCACTTACTAAACGAAGCATTGGAGAAGAATCAAATGAAACACTAGATATTTTTATACTAGTTCGTCTCAACTACCGAGACTACATCTAGTTCTCAATCCAACTAGATAGATTTCCACTAACTTTCAACAAAGTTAGAAGTATTTTTTTACCAAGCCACTTCTTGCTCAATCCTAAGTAGTCTTTAACTTGCCTCTTCAAGCAACTATGCAAGTATTCTTTGAACAACAAGCCTCTCTAGGCTTAATCACCAAGTATTCTTTCAACCAAGCCTCTCCAGGCTCAACCACTAAGTATTCTTTCAACCAAGCCTCTCTAGGCTTAACACTTATAACAAAGGTAATGGATGATTACAAGATTGTTTTGTCTCTTCTATACGTGGTGTAATAAACAATGAAAGTACAAGTAATTTACAAAAAAATATACAATATTTATAATAAGTGTCTTTCCATAATTTTCTGCTCTATCTATTTCATTATGCTTCTCTACACAATTTTCTCGACGTGTATCACTTTTCTATGTTTCTTTGTTGTTCTATGTATGTACCTATTTTGTTGTTTGAAGACTTGATCCTTTTATAGCAGTTTCAGAGAAGATGACCGTTGTGACAATTTTGAGTTGAACTGATAATTTGCTTGATGAGTTACTTTGTCTGTCTTTCTTGCTGATCCTAGAGATTTTCGTTGTTGCATTTAATGCAAGCATTAAATTCCTTTCAGTAAGGCGTGTATCTCTTATATGATTTAACAGGCTATTTATCATCATTTCCTTTGTCTTGCATCTTCTACATAACAATCATCTTTCCAAGTAGAAAGATGTTCTCATGATACTCTTCCATAGGCACTTTTTGACCAGTAGGTGTAGTCTTTGGGCCCATTTAGCACTTAAGGTTTTTAGAGGGAAAGGGGTTTCTCATGATGAAGAAGATGAACAGTGGTGAGTGTAGCGAAAGTGAGTGATTGAGTGTTTTGAGGGACTTGTGTGACAAAGAGAAATACATATGTTTGTACATCATGGTTGGTGGGCAGTAACTAATAGAGGCGATAACGTGCTGACAAGATGCGCTTTTGTCGTGTCCACTTTTCACACATTATTTTACTTGTTGATTAATACACTAATGATTCCTTGCATTTAATGGTTTTTAATGTGTATGTTACCTTTTTTTTAAAAAAAACTTCATATGAGATGTTAGAAAACATATATTTATTTGAAATTAAAAGTGTCAGATTAATAAAGATAAGATGATGCATATCAGACTTAACAATAATCAAATTAATCAATAATATGATCAGATGAAGCATATAGTATGATGCATTAATATCTTAGCCTATTAGGTATCTCAAAGGCAGATGAAATTAAAACATTTTTCAATAAAAGCCTTTGCAAAAATATTAGCTTCATATAAAGATATCCATAGAAGCTGTCAAGTTCATCCTCCATTTGTACTCTTTCTTTCAATTTACTCCCCAACATATTTTGCCTAACAAAATTCTACTAACCTAAAATTGTTAGTTCTTTCATAAAACAGACTTAACTTAGTAGTGCTTGCAAGATATATGAATATTCGTTTAAAAAATTTCAAATAAGACTTTTTGGGATCAGATTGAAATCTAGCATAGAGATAGACATTGAACATAATATCAAGTCTACTGGCAGTTAGATAAAGTAGGGATCTAATCATACCTCTGTAGATCGTTTGCTCTACTAGTTCACCTGATTCGTCTTTTGATAACCCTACAAACGGATGCATGGGAGTAGGCATATGCTTATAATCATTCATTCTAAACTTCTTAAGAAGTTCCTTGGTGTATGCCTTTATCTGTCTACTTGATCTATCTTACTAGTACCCTTTATCTTTCCTTTGCCATTTCCAAAAGACATAAACCCTTCACGTGGTTAGAGGTCTACGACCATAGACTTTTTTCCATCATGTGTCATGAGCAACCATTATTTAGGTACCAACTTGAATCCTTCATTCTTTCCACTAAGGAGATTCGTAATATGAATAATTTGTGATTTTGGTACCTAAATCTTTTAGGGACCTTTTATGTTAGTCCCACTAGCCTTAGTTTGTCCCTTTTGTCTGCATAAAGGTTTTACTCCTTTTTCACTGGCATAGAATGTAAACTTAAGCCTATTTAAAGAAGAAAAAATAGTGGAGACTTGATAATGTAACGACCCGCCATGGTCTCTACACTTAGTGGAATCGCACTATTACTAGTGAACTAAGATAAATAATAAAGTTGGATAGCTTATAAATACAAAAACAAAAAAAATATATATGAATCATTAAATTTTTAAGTATTAGGTATTTATACAGTTATCCAAAAATACTATCTCATAGTGCCGGTCAAGCACAAACGGCTACCCAAGGTGATAACTCTAACACGAGGATCAAAACTCCCCGTTTCGCAACGGTCACCTCAACTCCAAGTTGGCCCTGACCTGCTCCCATACAAAGTATGATCATCGCAGTCCATCCACATGGAAACAAGAGGGTAAGTTAAAGTTCAAAATCAATCATGAAGCAAGACACCACACACTTCATCATATTAACAATCATGAAATAAATGTATAACAATCATCACCACAAACAACTATACAATTCAACATAAAAACCCAACTCAATCATACAACTTAGAAATAACTTTAATACAACAACAACAACAATATTATACAACTTAATATTTTATGCATCGTCACGCATATACAACTGGGAGATCTCCAACAACTGAGGTTGAGCAGTCTAGGTGGCATAAACCCTACAGAATCCAGTGTTTGACCTATCTCAACCAGGTCAAGTATAGAACAGCTTTAGGAACTCCAAAAAGAACCAGGTATATACAACAATAGTTGATTTCTCAAGTGTGCCACTTAGAACTTAGACTCGAAGGTCCAGTACTACTGTCAGGACAGAAGGGTTTGGGTATGAGCCTACCACGGCCTTGGCTAGCTTCACCAATCCACGTGTGGAGTTAGCCCACCCACTGTCCTCCAAGTACCACGCACCCTCCAGTATCTAGTCAAAGACTGCATCTCTAACTAAATACCTTACTAAAATTGGTCATTCAACCATGACATGGATCGACTATTTCCATGTCGCCCACACAGTACTAAGGGATTCAACTTTAAATCAACTTTCAACTTTAAAACAACTTTCAACTTATCACCTTAGTACTATGTATCTCAACATAGGACATATATCTTCACCATATGTCCCCAACTTTTCAACTTTACAACAATAGGCATATTAACAACTTCACAACAATAGACAACTTACAACTTAATAAGCATAACAACTTAAACAACATATAACTTTTCAACAATAGACATCACATCAACTTTACAGCAATAGACGACTTACAACTTTACAGCAATAGACGACTTATAACTTTATAGCAACTCATAACAATACAACTATAGACATCTTACAACAAGAGGCAACTTACAACAATAAGCATCTTTCAACAATAGGCAACTTATACAACTTTAAACAACTTTTACATCAATAAACTAATTCCACTTATACATCTCAACTTATTAATAATTTAACAATAAATAGCATAAAAATAACTTAGTTTTACCACGTATAGCAACTATAACAACGTATCACATATTATCATCACACAACATATGAACAACTTAAGTTAACAACTACTCAATCCGCACCCAACAACTTAATCATTCTACACTTTAGCTTCCCTCACCTGAAGATTGGTTTAGAATAGCCAACAACTGTGACGAAATAGGATTCCCTTCCAAAACTCAACCCGGAACTTCAATCCTCCCAAAGCAAGCTTTCTAATCCAGAGACTTTCTCTCTAAAACTTCTCTCTAAAAACTCCCATTTTCCTGAAGGCTCCCAACCCCTATTTATAGACTTTTCGGATTGGCCAGAACGGCCTGTACCGATATCGGAACGGCCTGTTCTGCACCCCTCAATCACGTTCAAAATTTCCATTCAGAACGGCCCGTTTTAAAATCAAAACGGCCTGTTCTGGGACTCATCTGGAACGGCCCGTTCTCCCTCCGGAACGGCCCGTTCTCCCCTCCCGAGCGGCCCATTCTCCATCCAGAACGGCCCGTTCTAGATTGGGAACGGCCCGTTCTGGGCTACTAAATCAGTCACACATTTTTTTTTCTACGTTACAGATAACAACACCACTAGAGTTTCATGAGATGAAAGCTTATGTGAGACAGTAAAGAGAGCTTGTGTTGTCTCTTGATAGTAGAGGAAGCTACCAAATGTTACATCTTTTGGGTTTGGGCCTTAGCCCATTTCTATATAAGAAATAATAAAAAAAATGTTTTTTGTTTGATTTAAATTATATGTGGGGGGTTCAAATTTTAGTGGGTTTTAAATTTCAAAACCAAACATAACCCCTTCAAACACCCAAAATTTAATCACAAACTTTTGAATTTTCATTAATTAATAACCTGTTCAAAATTGTCCACAAATTTTTTTTCTTTATAGTTTTTTCGAGTTTTGGTTGAGTTGTGATTTTTTTGCTACCCCTAATTAGGCCATCTACAAGGTTGATGCTAAAAAAAATTATCCTATTAAACACTAATCTAAATATGGTCCAACTGTAAAAATGAGATAAAAGAAGATTTGATTAAGTATCAAATGTCTATTTAAGCATAATTAGTTATGATTATGTATGGGGCAAAAATACAAAATTAAAAATTAAAAAGTTTTCGTATGATAAAAATTTAGGAATATGTTATTTGTGAAACTCATTTTGATCTTTTTAATTGTTGAATTAAAAAGAACGAATGTTTAAATAATGAAAACAAAAAAAATGATTTATAATAATGAGACCAATAATATTCATAGGCACTTACTATATGGAGTATGTATTTGATTTGCCATATCTTTTACACATTACAAACAATGCACACACATCAAGTTTAGATTTACCACTTTCAAATATTGTAAAAACAAATTACATTACTTACACTATACAATACATTGATGAAAGTTTTAATACATCATGCATACAAATTTCGAAGATCATCTTTGAATTTGGCTTTTAATTGTTCCATTTTTATCTTTAGAGCAGCAGTGACTAATCCAGATTCAGGTGTCCATGGATCTGATAATAACTTAATCTTTGTCGGAATTTCAGTTTTCACCAACTTCATAGCTTTTGCAACCTGAAACAAATAAAGGACTGGTTATTAATCAGGTAATACACATAATGCTTATTAATTTATAACAATCATGTTATCATAAATAAAACTATGTATAGTTTAAAAAATCTAAAAATCATTTCTACATAGTTTATCTGTCAAGCTTGACTTTGATTAGAAATAATGCCAAAGTGACAAAAATGATAGGTCAACCAAAAGAAGACAAACCCCAAGTTGAAATTTCCTTAAGATAAATGTGAAGTGATAAAAATATCAAAACTTGTATCTCATACTTTTAATTAGTATATTGTAGTTTACAATTAATGTTGTCTCATCCCAATTACTATTATGTATATTTTGATAATTGATAAATTATATCCATACAATCTATAAATTATATCTTGGACATATGCTAGCAAAAAAGTAAGCATACACAATAAACTTACCTTAGAAATAGATTGCAAGACCTCGTTAATAGTTTCAGGTTTGTTACACAGATCAGTAAAATCTTTGTGCTTAATACCAACTTGTTGTGCCCATTTCACAAGGGGATAATATGAAGCAACAACTAGGGCAACACAATAATGGTTAAAAGGGTCTACATAAACCATTATATTATCCACATAATCGCATGTTGATAGTATTGCCTCAACCTACAATTAAGAAAAAATAAAAGCAAAATATGAATTAAAAAATTTATTATCAATTTTGTGTGAGTAGATCATCCATATTCTAAAATGAGATCGTATAAATAAAATAACCTTTCCAAGAGAGACATATTCTCCATGTTGAAGTTTGACAATATCTTTCTTCCTATCTATGATTTCAAGACACCCATCCGAATGGAATTGTCCAATATCACCCGTATGGAACCAACGCATACCATGCTTATCAACCTATATTAAGTAAAAAATAACATGCATGGCATATATTAGAAAAGAGTGATTTTAGAGCAATTGAAGAAAAATAAAATGGAATGATAATAAACATATAATTGAAAGTTTGAAAATTAATTACCTTGAACACTTCATTAGTTTTTTCTTGATTCTTAAAATAACCTGCTGTCACACTAAATCCTCCAATTACAATCTCTCCACGTGGCATTGGTTTGTCTGATGTCAAATACCCCCCTTCTTCCCAAGAAACAAGCTATACAACCACATTAAAAAAGAAATCAAATTCATTGTTTAAGGCTCTTAAGTTCCACCAATTGCAACTATAACTTAAGAGATATTAACTTGTTATTTCTTAGATGTTGTTAAATTCTTACTAATTTTCAACATCCAATAATTTTTTATCATGCACAAACATGAAATTGTAATAATTAAAGATTGTTAAATCAATGTAATTTTTATTAATAAATAACATTGAAAGTTCATCACATTGGATTTTTGTTAATGGAATATATGACAGACCTTAATGTAGCAACAAGAAAGAGGTGGACCAACACGCCCCACCTTGTTGTCAAACCATTCAGAAAATGTAGCCCCTGCAAATGTTTTAGTCAAGCCATATGCTTGCCCAATAACACTCCTATTGACAAGAAAACATGTATATATTGAGATTGTGAATTCTTGTTTGACATATGGAAGTATAAATAATAAATAATAATTAATAATAGTTAATTAAATAGAAATGAACAGAATAGTTGAAAAATGAAGCTTAAATGCACCAAGTGAGCTTGTGGATCTTTCTATAAATAACTATATCTATTAGAAATGGAATAGGCCTACCAAAATCCCAAATGTTTTCTTAAAAGGATAGGATTGTTCAAGTTATATAGGATGTTTTAAACTATATTATTAACAAATGTGAGATCTTAGCACATCCTCCTCATGCTCAATGAAGTTGTAGGTTTGGACATTTGCAAATGACCTAATTTCAAAACTATATAAACTTTAATATCATATAGGCTATGGACTAAGTCTCACTTAACATAAAAAAAATCTAAAAGATAACAAGGGGAGGATTACATGAATTTAATAGGAAATACTTTAGCTATATTTCTAGTTGAGGTTGAATCATAACAATATCATCATAAGACATTAACATAAAATTATTTCATTTGTGATATGTGTAATATTGTTGAAAGTATTATTATAACTATGCTTAGGTTTCATGGAACATGAAATTTTTTAAAGCATAAAAATATCATGCATAAACAACTTATTAATAAAAAAAAGTATTTTTATACAATTTCAAAACAAAAATGACCACACATTAATTAATGTGGCTTTTGAATATAATCTAAGTGCTTAAAAAATAAAATTGAGTGCTTCATTATATTGTTTGATGCAAATTGTTTTATGTGCAATGGTTAATAAATGTGAGGGTAGGGAAAGGATGTGTAATCGAAGTTAAATTTATTGACCACAGGAGCTAACATTGGGTTAGGGGTTTTTTTTAGAAGATCTCAAGAAGTCAATTTATTTTAGGCTTAAGTTTTTTCTCTCAACTCAATAACTCCAAAAGCAGAATGTAGAAGCATAAAGGGTGTACCTTGGAGATCCTTGTCCTTCCTCAAGCGTTCATCAAGGTAAGGGAAAGTGAGAGTCTTCTCTGTGCAGTTTGGGTTATTTATTAGATAGTGGGATTAACCCCCAATCCTATTGTTTCTCTTTTGTGTTTTGTGGAAGCATACCAAGTTTTCAATTGTATGTTATAATTAGTGCTTTATATGATTCTTATGTGTTTTGTAAATGATAATTGTAGTATGGATGTTATGGGGTTTGGATTAATTGGTATAAATTGAGAATCTTTGAGATCTCGTGATTCCTATAGAAAACCCTTAATTTATATAGTAATATAAAGATTAACGTTATTTTGATTATTTATGTGAAATTGATGTATGAATGGTGTAAATGATGGCATAACAAGTTGTAATAGGCTTAAAATTAGTGTTTTCAACGATTGGATTGAGAGTTTTAAGTTTGGTTCTACTTGTGCGATTTTCACACATTTTACGAACTGGTATCACACTAGCCACAAGTGGTGTAGCATCAGGTGCAAGTGGTGTAACATCAAGTGCAAGTGGTGTAGCATCAGGCGCAAGAGTGAAAGAGAGTATGGGTTACCCTCTATGGATTGTGCATTGGGTGTAAGGTAGGTCACGTTGGGCATGAGACCTCTAGAGAGCAACATGTGCTCTTTGTGGGTCTGGTGTTGGGCACGGGGTAAGTCCCGCCAGACACCATTTTCAGTTTAATTAAGGATGAGTTTGTGTGGTTAAAAAGTTGCTTAACAATGTGTTACTTGAGAATGTGACCTTGTTATCAATATAAACATGATGAGAATCTTACAGTGTTATATTTGTCTGTTCAATGTTATGTTTCATGAGTTGAATTGTTATTTTAAATGTGAATAAGACTGACATGATGATATGTGTAAGTAAATGAGATGATTATGATGTGAATCAATGAGATACAATGCTACATAAAAGTTTTGTATGAGCATGAGTATTTGTATTTGGGCCCTAAGTAATCATCTTCATGCCATGAGTATTAGTTGTGGGGCCATAGGTTATGAGATCCTTGGCGCCACATGCATGTAGTGTTAGATGAGTCCATGTCTACTACATTGAGTGAATAAGTTGTGAATGTGTTTGTGTTGGTATGTTGTTGCTATTAATTGAAGTTTATTATTTTCTTTATATTCTTAATACTTTTGTTACATGAATGTATGGTTATGTTATATTTGATGTGTGTGGTTGCCCAACTATATCTCATACCAATAGCTATGGTGAGATGTTTCTCACTCCTTTTTTTGTTGTTGTATTTCTATGTGCTTTGCAAGTAAAGATCACCACAATGCTGATGTTGGTGACGAGGCATGAGCCTTGTTATATATTATAGGTCGAACTCTAATAGGATGTGGCAATGAGGTTCCTAGAATATGATCTTTTATTTGTTTAGAATTTTGGTTATGTTTATGGATTATGTTAGGTCCTTTAGAATTTTAATAATTTCTTATTAGTCATTGATTTGTTTGTTAAATTTCACATTTTTTTATTTTGTATGTTTTTTCAAGTTTCGATAAATGGCTTTCTCTATCTATAAATGTGTTTTGTGAACAATTTTCCTTTTATGTTGATGTTTGCTTCAGATGATTAGAAGTTATTATTATTTATTTATTAATATTTGTGTACGAGGTAGAGGGTGTCACATCCTTCAAGACCAAAGGTTAACAACCTTATGCAACCTCCACCAATTTGATTTATCAAGCATTTTCTTAAAAACATCATTTTATCATGTAACCTTGGTTAACTTAACTTGCTTTATACCAAACTCTATAAATTAAAGTTTCCACCCATGTATGTTTCAATTTTTATGATATATGAGAATTGCATTTTCAAATTTTGTCTTCAAAAGTTTTAGTTCTCTCCTTTGAGAACTTTTTCCTTTAGAAATTTTATCAAGGAATTTATCCTTGTGACAAGTTCATCATTCTTAATTATCTTTCTTTTGGAGATAGTGCATCATCTCTTCAACCTTTCCACCATTTTCATTTTGATTTTATGAAGTTTGAGTTAATAGATGAGGATTAAAGGAGAAATGGTGCCAGACAAGTGGATTTGACTACCTTTCACTCTACTAGATCTAGTTTTTCTATGCGAATTTTTTCGATCTATGTTTGTCTTGAAAAATTTGGTTCAAATTTTTTTTAGATCTAGTATTCTATGAACCAAATCCTATTGTATGCTTTTAGAATTCATGTTCTATGTGTTTTTCTCTTCATTTTGATGTATGTTGAGTTATGTTTGAAAATATAAAAGAAAATTCATGTAGTATATGACTTTATTTTGGAAACTTATGCAAAAGCATGTTGTCTTAGGGTCACATGTAGTTTTTTCTTGTCATCACTTCTAGTTGATTCCTTTTTTTTTAAATCTTGCATATATATGTGTGTGTGTGTGTTGTTTGAATTGTATTGAAGCTTCTATAATCTTTGAGATCTTACATGTTATTAGATCATTAACGTGTTCTATTAGAACTAGGATTCCTCTTGTCTAGTAGTTTTCAATAATTCTTGTTTCTACTTACTTTTTTTGGCTTAATTTGAATGCAAATTTGGTGAATGATTAAAACATTTATTGTTGGAGTAATTCCTACTTGAACTTTTTACTTTGAAGTTCAAAAGGTTTCTAAAAGAAAAGTAAGAGTGAAGATTAGTGTAACCACAAAATTTCTCACCAAATTTTGGTTCATTTGAGTTTTTACTTCTATTCTTTATAGCAACATTGTCAAAATAAAAAGGGTCCCAAATTTTGCTCCAAAAGAAAAGAATAACAAAAGTGTAAAAAGAGAGAGGGGGGAGAGAGAAATAGAGAAAAGAAATAGAAAAGAAAAAAAAAGAAAAATAATTCGTATAAAAAAATATATGGAGCCTTTGTGAAAATAAAGACTTAAATTAATTTAGTCACGTTTCATTTTACTAAAGTTTGCATTCAATTTGTATGTGGACTTGAGTTTTTGTTACTTTTGTAGTCCGATTTTAGGACCTCTCCTAGGAATTTTTCTTTGAGTTCTAGCTTCCAAATATTGCCTTAATTTTAGCTTATATAATTTTTTGGCATTCTTTGAGTTTTTTTATATCAATTTTCTTAGATTTTAACTAAATTTTAATTGTGCATTTCTTGTTTGTCTCCTAAAAATTCTTTAGTGTTGTTTTTTGGTGCTAATCTTTCAAGTGAAGGTAAAGCAAGACATATTGCCACAAGATAGCACCTTGAAATGCTGATGAAGGCCTAGGAGAACTTACTCCCCGGTTGAAACATGCTTTTGAGATACTTGAAGATTAAACACCAAGAGAAGATAGTTAAATACTAGAAGACCTTTTACACTAACGAGATTATTCATTATGTAGGAGAAGACTTAGAGATTTTAAGACTTTTTTCATTTCATTTTATTTTAATTTGCTTTAATTTTTGTCTTGTAAAGACCTTTTCACTTGGAAGTGATTTTGATAAGTTCGAAGTACCTATTTAAAACTTTCAATTTGCTTGCTACTTTTGTTAAGTAATTTTCCTTAGTGCTTGTGAAAGTGTGTTGAGAGATTCTTGAGTGTCCACCTAAACTTTCACATAGAAATATGTCTAATCAGCATACTTTTACTTTCTTTATTGTTTCCTTTTTAATTATTTTGATCATTAAAGTGTTTAAGAAGTTTCAAAGACTTTTTTAAACACATTAGGTTGCATTTTTGTTTAGTATAAGAAAAACTTTTTTCTCCAACTTGCATCATAAGTAAGAACACATCACACATCTCTCATAGTGGTAGTGACTTTAGTTCACCTCCAAAACTTTCAAAACTAATGGTGGAATTAAAGGTACTAAAACTATGGTGAAAGGAAGAAAGGTTAGAAAAATAAAAACAAAAGAGAGAAAAAAAAATGGAAGCATGTTTAGAGCTTAAGCTTAAGGAATTAAAAGAAAAACAAAAACACTTAAAAGAAAAGTATAAGGAAAAAACATGGTAGTAGCTCCTTTAATGGTTCCTCTAAGAGCATGACCAAGGAATGTGATACTCAAAATCTA